CTCCCAATGTAAAAGGAGCTCTGCAAATGTAATTTGTTGTTATTAACCCTGCAAACCAAACAGGGTGCTCCTAGCTGGACAAGCAGAGGTCTGTTTGTCCTGTCTACCTGTTCAGGCGGACATTAAAAGTTTGCTGTTGAGAAACGAGAAGGGAATTTCTTCCAGGGTCCTGGCCAAAAATCCCCCAGATTAGTCAATCATTCACTGCATAGCTGTTTGTGGGACGATGCCATGTGCAAAAAAAACTGGCACGCCAGCAATCATTTTGACGTTGAAGGTGCTATAAAAACACAACGTCTCTCTTTATCTAAATATTTTTCCTTTTGCTTCTGGGTTTGTGTCTATATCCGTCCATCCAAATGAACTGTGCAAATATGCTAGTCAGGAATGCAGAGGCATGTGGTCAGCCTCTGTAGTCTCTCCCTGATACCAGTGCTGATAGCTGGGGGACCCTAAGAGTTTTTATTATAATCAATTGTTTTATGAAATTATTTCCAATCCAATTTATTACTTCCAGCCCACACTCCCCCCCACCTACCCCTACCCCCACGAGCCTTGGTTCTCAACAACTTCCACCTAACACACTGAATTAGGTGATCAAATTGTGTCAACCTGGCTCAATTGTTAGCGCTCGCACCTTGATCAGAAGGTTATGGGTTTAAGCCCCACTTCGGAAGTTGGAACCCATATAGACTAAGCTGACGCTTCCAACGCTGTGATACTGTCCTTCAGTTGAGACGTTAAATTGTGCTCCTGTCTGTGCCTGTTCAGTTGGACGTTAAAGATCCCACAACCTTGAACCCACAGCCTTCTAACTCAAGAGGCAAGAGTGACTGTGCCAGGCTGACACACTTTTTTCTTAATCTTACAAAGGAATTCTTGAGTTTGGGTGTGTTGGGGGGAGAGAGATGAAGAGATTTGAAGGTGTGGTGAGGGTTTTAAAAATAATAATCCTTGAATTTGATATAGCGCCTTATCATGTCATTGAGACATCTCAAAGCTCTTCACAGAGTATACTGTGAAGTTTAGTGACTGTATATTTTGTGGATGAAATGCCAAATGTGCACTGCAGTGTCTGTGGGATCTAGGGGATCAGTTATACTTTTATCAGTGTCTAGGTGGCATGAGCGTGGGGTGGTTGGGGATATGGGGTGGGCGAGTTGATTAAAAACAACATAGCAGCTATATTAGCTGAATAGGGGTGAGGGGATGTCAGTGGCTTGTGGAACACAAATCTGAAAAAAGATGGATGCTCATAAAGGAGGAATTAAGGGTCGACCTTTGAGTCCTTTATCTAGCAAGGCTCTTGGAACGAGGATAAGGGAAGTGAGATATGGGGTGGAACAGAGAGGCCTGGAGGTAAGTGGGGAGGAAAAGGTTAGGCGCAAAGGAGATATCAGTAATAGGATGAGTAATGAAAGGATCAGTGGAGATAGACGAGGTGACAACACAAGTTAGCTCAGTCAAATAATGGATGTTGCTCTTATCAAGCCAGTGATTCAAGCCCATTTATTCTCACTAATGTAAGTTTTACAGACAGTCAAGAACTAACACTGGGTTTAAGCCAAGTACCTCCCCATCCCCTTCCTCTCCATCTCTCCCTTTAGAGTATCTTCTCTTCAGTTTATAAACCCCCTTTATTTTCCAGTTAGTTTTTGCGAAGGGGGTGGGGGAGAGATGTGCTTTAAGGTTAAAGATCCACCATGTTATTGTTAAAATGAGAATGGAGTTTCTCCCGGTGTCCTGACCAACACTCCTCCTTCCTTCCCCTTCCCCACCTCTGCCCACCCCTCCCAGACTAATTGCTCATTCACTTTGCAGCCAAATTATGACTCAGTCAACAGGTTGTGGGTTCAAAGCCCACGTTAGGCCTTTGAGCTCACAGTCCTGGCTGATTACATTCTCAACCTCCCCGGCCTATCCCTCAGACTTACCGAACCAGTGTGCAACCTTAGCATCAGGGTCAACCCACAGCTGTCCTTCCTTCCCCACATCCGGTCACTGACCAGGAACACCTTCCTCTACCTCCGCCACATTGCCCAACCTTCAACCATACCTTACCCCAGATGCAGCCGAAATATGCTTTTGTTACCTCCTGACTCGACTTTTCAAATGCCCTCTTTGCCGGTCTCCCCATCTCCACCATGCACAGGATCCAACTGATCCAAAACTCCACCGCCCACCCATACTAAACTCTGTACCCCCATAACACCAGTTCTAGCCAGCCTCCACTGGCTCCCTGTTGCCGAATGGATCAATTTCAAGATCCTCACACTTAAATGCCTTCATGCTTTGCCATCTCCCGACCTCTCCAACCTGCTCAGCACCCAACCCACAACCTGTTGCCTCTACTTGACTGGTTCCAGCCTTCTGCGTGTCCCTCATGCCCTCCTTTCCACCACTGGTGACCGAGCTTTTAAGCACTATGCCCCGAAATCTGGGAACACTCTTCCTCTATCCCTCTGCCTTGACCTTTCTTTCCCCATCTTCAGATCATGCCTAAAGACCTTCTTATTCGACCATGCCTACGGTCATCCCCTCCTCCCTTCGGCTTGGCGTCGTGCTCCGTCATTGTCAAGTGCTCTGAGACACTACCCTCCATGAGGGGCGCTATATAAGTTTTGTTGTTGTTCATGCTCCAGTGCAGTGCTGGGGGGAGAGTATGCTGCATTGTCAGAGGTGCAAGCCTTCGGATGAAACGTTAAACCGAGGTCCTATCTGCTGTGGCACTTTTCAAAAAGCGAAGGTGGTTTCTCTTTGTTACAATCCCCCAGATAAAATTCATGGCTGTTTGTGAGACATTGTTGTACGCCAAATGGTTGTCGTGCTTGCCTACAAAATACACAGTCATTTTGCAATGAAATACTGTGAAGCACTTTGAGACATCTCGACGATAAGGCATGATAGCAAATACAAGGATTATGCTGCCTAGTTTTGCCCCACAAAATAAACAGTCAATTCACTTTACAGTATATTCTGTGAAGCGCTTTGAGATGTCTCGAAGACGTGATAAAGCGCTATATCAGATGCTGGAGCCTACTGAGTGGAGGAAGTAGACAGGTTGATAAGGGGTTAGCAGATCAGAGAGGGAGGAAGGAGTAAGGCTGTGGAGGGCCTTGAAAGTGAGAACGATAATTTTGAACTCAATCCTTTGAGGGATGTGGAGCCAATGGAGCCTGGTGAGGGTGGGGATGATGGGGTCATGGAGCCTAGTGCAGGAGAAGACACAAGCTGCAGAGTTCTGGATGATCTGCAGTTTGTGGAGGGAAGAGTTGGGAAGGCCGACAAGCAGAGGGTTGGCATAGTCGAGCCTTGGTTGTAATGAAGGCATGTTTGAGGGTTTCGGCGGGCTAAGGGTTGAGGCAGTGGCAGAGTCGGGCGATTTTGCAGAGGTAGGGGATGGTAGAGTGGGTCATGGCATGTATATGTGGGAGAAAGGACAGTTGAGGGTCAAACAAGACACCTAAGTTCTTTGCCTCACAAGTGAGAGGATCCGAGTTTGATTCCCAGGCGAAGCAAAACCTTAGGCAAGTTTTCTGGGGGTAATAATCCCTCCCCCCAAAAAATTTGGTCATTCAATTCATGACTGTTTGGGACCCACTGCTGTGCACAATTGGCTACCACGTTTTGTCCACAGTCAATACAGTCAATTCACTTTTTGTGAAATGCTTTGAGATGTCTCGAAGATCTGATAAGGTGCTACATCAAATGCAAGGAATATTATTATTATTAGTCACTACAGGAACACGCTGCGAAGCATTACAAGACGTCTCGATCGGATCAGGTGCTGTATCGAATCCTTATTATTCTCTTTCGAGAAACCACCAGCCTCCCTCCCGTCCCCTCACCCCCTGCTATTTCTTCCTGTGTAACAGCAATATTAGATTTCCTTGAATTAGACAGGACTCAGTCTCATGTGACCATGGCTGAGAGGAGAGGATTTGCAAGCAGTCACACGCCTGGGGGGGGGGGGGGGCACGGAATTTGATTTACGTTCCCATGGAGACAGCCGGCTCCATCAATCAGCTGTGAGGACGAACACTGAGCGGTGGAGACTCCGAGGTGGGACATGGTGGTGGGGGGGGGGGGGAGTAATCGAAGTGGGGGTTCACCATCAGCCTAGCTCAGGCTTCGTGCTCTCGACTCTGGGTCAGAAGGTCACAGATTCAAACTCCCCCTCACAAAGTCAGGAGAGTTGCAGTTGTAGGCTGGTGGTCCAGCGCAGGGCTGGTGTGGGTGGAGGGGGGGGGAAGAGCGGAGGGGAAGAGTCGGAGACACTGCATTGTGGGGGGTGTATTTTCAGAGGCGCCGTCTTTCAGATGAGAACGAGGTCCCATTTTTGCCTGTTTAATGATCATGCGGTGCTATTGGAAAAGAGGAAGGAGTTTCTCTAGCCAACAATCCCCCTCAAGCCCCCCCAGATAAAAATTAGTTACTCACTCCATAGCTGCCCCTGGAGATCTTTCATTGCTGCGTTTGCCTGCAAAACACACAGTCACTACATTTGACAGCAATTCTCAGTGAAGCTGGGTGAAGCGCTCTCGGATGCTACCCTGTGGGAGGGGCACTATATAAATGCAAGTTGTTGTTGAAGCACTTTGAGTCCTTATAGGCGCTGGAGCAATATTATTAATGTGTGTGTCTCAGAAGTGCCCATGTTCCCCTCCCTGCCCCATCCCCCCAATCGGGCTGGGCTCAGACCAAGTTGTAATGAAAGCCCCCACGGCTTTCCTCGTGCTCCGACACTCAAGAGTGACTTTCCTGTTTAAGTTCTGACACTGCAGCTGTTGAGTAAGTGAGAAACAGCTTGACTGAAGATCTTTACTGATGGAGCGATTGGGTTACTGATCAGCCTGGCTAACTCACCCGCTCGCTCGCGCTCTTGCCTCGAGTCAAGTCGTAGCTCATGCTCCAGCTCAGTGCTGAGGGAGCACCGCATTGTCAGAGGTGCAGTCCTTCGCATGAGATGGAGTTCAGGAGGGTCAATTATAAGATTGTAGAATCCTGTAGCGTAGTGGTGAGCGCAATCGCCTCGTAAGCGAGAGGACCCAGGTTCGAATCCTGGGTGGGGTGAAATCTTAGGCAAATTTCCTTACACCACATGCCTCTGTTTACCTAGCAGTAAGTAGGAACTGGTTGTTAGTCGATTGATGGGACACTGCTGTGCGCAATTGGCTGCTGCGTTTTACCCACAAAATATACAATCATCCACTTTACAATATATTGTGTGAAGTGCTTTGAGACGTCTCAACAATCTGATAAGGCTTTATATCAAATGCAAGGATTATTATTATTAAATAACGTCTCTTCCGAAGGACGGCACCTCTGACAATTCAGTGCTCCCCCGCCCCCCAGTACTGCACAGAAGAGTCAGCCCTAGACTGTGAGCTCAAAGTCCTTGATGTGGGGCTTGAACCCACAACCTTCTGACTCAGAGATGAGAGAGAGCTACTGACTGAGCAAGGCTGTGCGGCTAAACATTTGCTCAAGACTAATTACCTGATCTCTTCGTACCTGGTATCCCTCCCACTCCTTCAATCCCTCATTCCCTCCATCCACCTCCCTCTCAGATGCTATTTCTGTCAGCTAGCCAGCCAGCACTGGGAGAGAGATATCAGAGCTCTGTCATTCACTCACTGAGTTCCTTTACATTTATAATGAAGAGATGAAGATCTTAAATCCCCGAGGATTGCGATTCAAGCGCAGTGACTTTCATCTTTTACTGGGGCTGTTGGTCTGTGAGGGCAGGGCCACTGGGTTTGACAGACTGCAGTGCACATACCCCTTTGACAGAGGGGTATAAAACACACCATTAAAGCTATCAGTGAAGCTGAGGTATCGTTGCCCCATTGTTTTCATTGGAATGAGGTGGAAAGTGTCTGTTTGGGTGTTGAAAGAGGAGGTTGATGTCTGACTGTTTTTACTGACGTTCCGCAGCGCAAGTTAAAGGAACGTTATTCAGAGCTGATCTTATTTCTCGTTACAAGATACGATGTTCAAGGTCAGCCACAGGACAGTTAGAGACAGAGTAAAGCGCCCTCTACATGTCCGTCCACACTTCCTGGTCGGTAACAGCACGGGTCAGAGACAGAGTATAGGTCCCTCTATAGTTCCATTCCCAGTTTGGATGCCAAGCCAACCATTTGAGACATTCTCCTGATCCGAGTGTTGCTGTATAAATATATATTGTCTCTTGTGTGTGAGGAGGGGATAGCGCTTGCAATCCGAGGCTTGGCTGGCCACACGATGGAGACTAATGGGTGATTAACGGAGCAGACTGCACTGAACTGAGGATGTCTCACTCAAAGGCTCGGAGTGAGCGTGATGCCGCAAAACACCACAGATACAGAGAATAATAATAATAATAATCCTTGCATTTGATATAGCGCCTTATCATGTCTTCTAGCAGGCTCAAAGCGCTTCACAGAATATACTGTAAAGTGAATTGACTGTATATTTTATGGGTGAAATGTCTCATCTGAATGACGGCGCCTCCGACAATGCAACATCCCCCAGCATTCCATTGAGCGTTAGCTTAGACTATGTGATTCCAAGTACCGACGTGGGGCTTGAACCCACAACCTTCTGAATCAGAGGCGAGAGAGAGTTACCACTGAGACAGGCTGATACACTTTCTGAATCAAAGGCAAAAGTGCTAGCGACAGAGCCAGTTGCGAATCTCAGCATTAGTGCTACAGGTCATAAACCTGAAGAGGCACCAATCATAGATTGGTTTAACGTCTCATCTGAAAGACACCATCTCTGAAAATGCAGCGCTCTCTCCAGCACTGACTGAGCCAAGGTGACACATCTTCTGAATCAGAGGCAAGAGTGCCAGCAACAGAGCCAGGCTGACCCCATTATACAGAGAGTCTCACTATCAGTGTCCAGTCCGTGCATTAAATTGACCTTCCAGTACAGGGGAGAAAAAAATGCATTATTAGAGATGCCAGCCTTCAGCTGAGATGTTAAAGTGAGGCCCCTCTGTGTTTGTTTAGGCGACATGAAAGATATTGTGGCATTACTCAAAAAGTGAAGAGAATCTCTCCCAGTGTCCTGGTCAGATAAAATCAGTCACTCACTGCATGGCTGTTTGTGGGACATTGCTGTGTGTAAATTGCCTGCCGCGAACACCGGCAAGTGACACAGTCATTATCATTATTATCTAACAGTGTATCTATAATAATCCTTGCAATTGATATCACGCTTTATCATGTTGTCTGAATCTCTCAAATCTCACAGTTATTTGCTGTCAAAGTGTAGTGATGACCATTTGCCGACAAACACAACACAGAAATGGCCTGTAAACAGCTGTGAGGTGAATGAACAAGTTTACTTGGGGGATTGTTGGTCGAGACACCAGGAGAGAGAAACTCCCTTGTCTTTTCCAATAATGCTGTGAGATCAAGAACGTTCACAGGGACCTTGGTTCTACAGTCTCAACTCATTTGAAGGTGGGCAACAGCGCAGTGCTATCCCTCTTCCCCACAAATAATAATCCTTGCACTTGATACAGTGGTTTTCATATAGGGAGGATGCCTCAAAGCGGATTACAGATTTTACTGTAAAGTGTAGTGAATCTGGCACCCAAATTACACATAGCAATGTAACACAAACAGGCATAAAGTGACTAACCAAATTTATCTAGGGGATTCTCAATCAGGACACCTGGAGAGAGTAACTCCCTTCTTTTTTCCAATAGTGCTGCAGGATCTTTAACATCCCCTGAACAGGCATTGTTTTAAGGTATGAACTAAGGAACAGCACCTCCGATAATGTAGCACTCCCACCAGCATTGTGCTGGAGTCAGTTTAGACTGCATGAGCTTGTGGTGGCCTGAACCCACAAATTTCTGACTGAAGGAGCGTGAGCGCTGCCAATTGAGCAAGGCTAACTTTAGGGGAGATATGGGGAGGAGAGAAAATGAGAGAAAGAGAAGATTGAAGAGAAGAAATGAAGAAAAACAGCATCTTGAATCCACGAATAAAGGGGAAATCCTTGCCTTCAATCCCCATCTGTTGACATGCTAGAAAGGAGTTAAATCTTTCAGTGGACACAATGATGGATGTGCTCAGGCCCTTTTGATCAACCCCTTTGATGCCCTAATGAAGACAATAAGACAGACAGCACTTAAGATAAAGAGAGAGACCAGATACATTGGACTTTAATTTGACACCATCTGACCTCAGATAAGTGGCTTGGGTTTTCCAATAAAAAAAGATCCTTATAAACAGGCAATTAGAATCCAATGAATTGTCAGTAAACGGACAGAGATATCAAATGAGGGGATTATGGAGGATAAGTGAACTGTTTGCCCAGAACAGACTGGCTTTCAATTCTACTGAACATTTACAATCTAAAAGGTTATAAAAGGGAAAGAACAAGGAATTTGGGATTACAGTGGGATGTGAGCACCAGCATGCACAAGATGGAGAAAGAGCAGGAAACTGGATGAGTAGAGGGTTCCAGTGGGGGAGCGAGCATCAGCACAGACACGATAAGGAGAGAGCAGGTGAATGAGATTAGAGTGGAAAGCTCATAGGGGGAATGAGCATCAGCACAGACATGATTGAGGAATGAGATTAGAGCAATAAATAACGATTATAATCCCCGGATTTGTTAGAGGGCCTTTCACATCAGGAAGATGTCGCAAAGCGCTTCACAGGATATACTGTAAAGTGTAGTGACTGTGTATTTATGTTTGAACATAACAGCAAATTTGTGCACAACAACGTTCCACAAACAGCCAAGTGACCAGTTTTATTTGGCTGATTGTTGGCCAGGACACCGGGAGAGAAACTACTTTTTTTTCGAATAGGCCATGGGATCTTTAACATGCACCTGAACAGGCAGAAGGGACTTTGATTTAATGTCTCATCTGGAGGATGGCACCTCTGACAACAGCACACAACCCCAGCACTGCTCCTGACGTGGCGTTTAAAGCCACAACCTTTTGACTCAGAGGCGAATAGATAGGGAGAGCAAAATGATGACCATTTCTGATAGTTAAAAAAAGTCCCAATTTTTGCCCTATTTTCTGGAAGTCTAAGGTGTCTCCTAGCGTTTGAGCTTTCACAGTGGTCCTCTAGCAGCTCCATTCAACAACAACAGAATTACATTTATAGAGCGCCTTTTATGTTGGAAGATAATCCCAAGACACTGGACAGTTAACAGTTTGCACCTGAGCTGGGGGTTGGAATCAAGAGGCATGGAGGGTAGAAGCGTGAGGGTGGCCGAAAGCATAATTAAACAGTGAAGTCTTGAGATGGTCTTGAAGGAGGCAAGCGAAGCAGGCATTCCCTTCGTTAATCACCCAGCGCTGGTACACTGACACTTTTACGCTGCTCAGTTGGTGTGGATTTGATTCATGTTCCGCATCAAATTAGTGCTAAAAGTCTGGTGTGAATGTGAATGGCATTAATCTGCAGAACACCTCCAGAACCCACCCACAAGAGAGTAGCTTGGAGCAGACTGGGAGTCCCAGCTGGGGGAGGAGAAGATTTGGGTGTTATCCGCCTGCATGTGGAAGTTGACCCCATGTCTGCGGATGACATCGCAGAGAGGGAGCATGTAGATAAGGAAAAAAGGGGGGCCAAAGATGGAGCCTGGGGTACCCCACAGGTGACCAGGTGGGGACAGGAGGAATAACCATTTGCCGAGATGTATTGTTGATCATTTGTTAAGTAGGACTTGAACCATGCGAGTGTGGTCCCACTGAGGTGGATGAGGGAGAAGAGGCGGTAGAGGAGAATGGCATGATCGACAGTGTCAACGCAGTGGAGACGTCCAGGAGAATGGGGTGGCAGAGGGAACCCTGGTTGCAGAAAGAGAGAAGACGTCATTTGTTACTTTGACGAATGCTGTCTCTGTGCTGTGGGCAGGGCAGCCAAGGTATATTATTTATCTTAGCGACAAAGAAATCCAGGACCTATTCGTACTTGGCATCTGAAGGGAGGATCGAGAGTGCTTGAGAGGGGATTTGAAAGAAGTCGTGGGTAGTAGAGAACATGATTCTGGGGTTGTTTTTGGCCTCGAAAATAATCTGTGAGTAGAAGGCAGTTTGGGTTTGAGAGA